CGGGGCTGGATCCCTGCGCCTGGCGGGGGGGGGGGGGCGGTCTATCCTGCAGGGGGGAATCCCCAGATCGCAGGGATCCGGGGGGGGGGAGTCGATCTATCCTGCAGAGGTGAATCCCCAGATCGCAGTGAGTCCGGGGGGGGGGGCAGGGGTGATCCTGGGCATAGGATCTGGTCTGACCTACCAGACCCTGCCCATGGACAGCCAAGCTCTGGGCAGCAGAACGGGGCACATCCCTGTGAGGGAGACCTGGGAGTCAGGGCTCCTGGGGAGACTCGGGGTACTGAGCACATACTGGGGGGCTCAACCCTGAGGAGAGCCATGTAGGTTCCTGGATACGCAGCTCTGAGTGTGGGGAGACGCGGATGATCTTTGGGCTTCGGGTAACCGGGCTTGCGTCCAGGGCATGGACCCCGACCTCACCCCCACCTGCAAGGTGCTGAGCTCACCCGCCGCGCCGTACAAATAACTAATAATAAAATAAAGACCCAGCCCAAATGTACAGGCCACCTGGAGCCGAGAAGCTGGGACAAGGGACCATGCAGACCTTGGCCTGGAGGAAAGAGCAGAAGGCTAAGGGTGTGGGAGGGAGGTGAAATGCCAAGAGAGTAGAGGGAGCCAGGAGCTGGGGGAAGGACGTGTTCAGGCCGGAGGACAGGGAGGAGTGTGGCTGCAGGATGCCGAATAGGCTGGAGCAGAGCAGGCCATGGGAAGAGGGAATGGTGACCCGGATGAGTTTGGGCAGCGGGGCTGGAGAGGAAGAGATGGAATCTGGAGCTGGCACAGAGGGAGAACCAGGCAGCTGGATGAGAAGAGCTGGAGATGTGTCAGGAGGAGGATGGGGAGTAGGGGAGGAAAGACAGGGAACTGGGAAGCCAGAGATGGGGCTGGGATGTTGGAGGTCTCCCAAGAGCAGTGGTTCCCAAACTTTAACAACCTGTGAACCCCTTTCACTAAAATGTCAAGTCTCACGAATCCCCTCCTAAAAATGAATATTTCCAGGGATTTTCTCCTTTACCGGAGTATAAATTATAAAAGCAGTGACCTTGGAAATATAAAATTTGACATGCTTATTGCACACTATTTATTATGAATTGTTATTTATCATTACAGTATTTTTATTACATTATGAAAATGGCAACACTCTTCCGAGCTCTCACTTTCGTAGCTTGTATCACTTTGAATAAGCCTGTTAGAAGACAAGGCTCCTAGGTTTCATCAAGGAGTATCAGATGTCAAACAGCAGGAAGGTATTTAAGAAGCCAACTCAAAGAGTTCCTCCTACACAAGCATTCAGGGCTTGACCAGTCCAGACAAACAACGCACGTTACAACAAAGCTTAAACTTGTTCTTCATAATCATTTAAAAACAATCCTAGCTGCCTGTTTCATTTAAAACAATGGAAAGGGAGGTGGATATTTTTTGTTGTTCTTAGGAGTCTTGACGTTTCTATCTCCTCAGTGTGATAGATCCGCTTGCTTTGAGCTTGGAAGTCCAGGGACACCAGGCTGCTGGCCCCGTGCAAGTTCTGTGTGCCATTAGGGATTTTTTTCCCAAGAACCCCCTGTAACATTTCACAAACCCCAGTTTGGGAACCACTGCCCAAGAGAAGCTTCTAGGTAGCACCGTAGCATCTCAATCTCTAATGTGTTTATCATTCCCCTCCCCCCTCCACACACACTGAGGTAGGGAGGTACTTTCATCTCCATTTTCCACATGAGGGGACTGAAGCCCAGAGAGATGACGTCCTGGATGCTCCAAGGTATTTAGGCACCTGACTCCTATTGAAAGGATCTGGGCCTCAGTGACTTGTTGAGGTCACACAGGAGGTCTGTGGCAGCACAGGGACTCAAACCCAGGTCCCCCAACTCCTCGCTAGTGCCCTAACCGTCGCACCGTCCGTCTTCTCAGCTGGCATAGGCCTGAGGGGGAAAGGGAGGCCCAGGAGGTGGGAGATGAATTGAACATCCTCTAATGTGCCACTTTGCCCTGTCAGGCTGGCGTGCCCACCATGGAGAAATACCACGTGCTGGAGATGATTGGAGAGGGCTCCTTCGGGAGGGTGTACAAGGGGCGCCGGAAATATAGCGCTCAGGTGAGGAGAGATCCAGGGAGGGGCTCTCTGAGGAGGTGGGTGGGATGGGTGAGATGTGCGGAAAAGGACATATGGGGGAAACATAACACAGGGCTGAAGAGTTCTTGGTATGCAGCTCAGGGTTCTGTGACTGGGCCTCCAGGTCCAGGGTCTCTGACAATCATATGTGTGATCCTCACCAGATTGTTTCTCTGGTAGTTTCCACTGTACTTAAGGTTGCACAACAGTTTCCATTCTAATCCCCTGCTTTCACATGCTCAGCACTTTCTGGAACATTTATTTCTGAATTTGACAGCTTGATTCTTCCTGTACCTTTTAGACAGGGCTGCAGCAAAAGCAACCAACATCTGAAACTTGTTTTGGGCAGAATCTCACTGAGGTCTGGTACCTTGGCTTGAGCTAGATAAAAATAGGTTTTGATTAACTCCTGACAATTTGCAGCTTGGTTACTGAGCCTGTGAAAGTGCAACGGGGGAGAAGGGATAGCTCAGTGGTTTGAGCATTGGCCTGCTAAACCCAGGGTTGTGAATTCAATCCTTGAGGGGGCCATTTAGGGATTTGGGGCAAAAATCTATCAAGGATGGTATTTGGTCCTGCTGTGAAGGTAGGGGACTAGACTCCACTCAATGACCTTCCAAGTTCTGTGAGATAGGTGTATATCTCCATATATTTAAAAAAAAATGAGGTTCACACACTGATTTTGGAAAGGCCTTTCACCCCTCCTCCATTTCTACTGGCACAATTGTTCACCCACCATTTTGCCGTCAATTCATTGCAGATTCTGTTAGTGGCACTTAGACATCTGGTACCTGATTTGCAGCAGAATAAGGCAGTTATATGACTAAGTGCTACAATTTGCACAAGTCAGTGTGTGCAAGATTCTGCCCAGGAAACCCTACGCAACTTTTAAAAATCAGAACCCTGGAGAAAGATGCAGACTGCACATGGGCAGACCTAGCTACACTCAAGCTTTACAAAATTTCCCAGCACTGAATCGTCATACTTTTAAAAATGACTGAAGTTTTTCAACCCTAGCTTGTTTTATAGATCTCGTTGAGATCTACCAGTTAACCATGTTTGAAGAAAATCAGTTCAAGATTTTAAAAGTTATGAACACTGAAACACAGAAAACTCTGGGATCCCCTTAATCCATGCCCAGTGCTAAGGTTACATGCAGTGGTAGGGGAGTGTAGACCTGGCCTTCGCCTTCCACCCTAGCAGTCACTAGTTGATCCTTGCCTGACTGGGGCCTGGCTGGGAGCAGTGGTGGGTGCGGGCATACAGCTCCCAGCTTTGTCTGCTTTGGCAGGTGGTGGCGCTGAAGTTCATCCCCAAAGTCGGGCGATCGGAGAAGGAGCTGAAGAACCTGCAGCGGGAAATTGAGATCATGAGGGGGCTGCACCACCCCAACATCGTCCAGATGCTCGACAGCTTTGAGACGGACAAGGAGGTAAGAGGGTGGGGAGGCGCATGCATTGTCAGCCGCACAGGTTCTCCTGAGGAGCCATAGCTGGGCCCTGCCAGCAGGTGCTAGAGGTGTCCTGTCGCTCCCAGCGATGCCATCAGGGCAGGCGGCCCTGGCTGGAAGGAGCAAGCGTTGGCCTTTCCTGTGACTGGGTTTGTGTCTCGCTGCATGGGTGAGTCCCGTGTCAGACTGCACAGCGCTCGTCGCCTCCCTCTGCTGCTTTCCCCAGTGATTCCCCTTCCCCAGGGCCCAGCGGGGTGTTTCCTCCGCCCTTTGGGCTCAATCCCGAGGCCTCACTCCAGAGTGCCACTAGGACGCTGCCTGAACAAGGGCTAAGTCCGGGTCTCTGGCCCTGACCAGACGTGCTGGAATCAGTGTCCTCGCCCGGCGGGTTTCCCAGCACCAATGCTCCAGCCATGGATCCCGTCCCCAGGGGTCCCTAGGACACAGCTGGGCTTCGCACCTGCTCTCCGAGCTCCCACGATCCCTTCCTGTCTCCCCCCTGCAGGTGGTGGTGGTGACGGACTACGCGGAGGGGGAGCTTTTCCAGATCCTGGAGGATGATGGGAATCTGCCAGAGGACCAGGTAGCTCTGTGACGCTGACGCATCAGGGCCAGTCGGAGTCATGTCAGGCCTGGGGCAGGGGCGTGGCGAGGGGCTCATGGTCCTCCCGGAAGTGCCGATGTTGCTTCTTCCGACAAGCGGATGTCAGAGCTGGCTGGACACTGCCGAGTCTTTAGTCCAGAGGGGAAGGAATCGGAGCCCAGAGGCAGGGGCGGGAAGGCTCTGATTGGCCAAGTGGGAGAGAGAACTCACCTTTCACCTCGACGCGAGCTGGGTTCAAATCTAGCCTTAGGCTACAAGTGACATGAACTGGCTGGGTCCCAGCCTGCTTCTCACCTGTGTCCAGGACTGGAATAGGGATGAGGGGTGGGTCGGGATCAAAGAGCTAGGGCAGAGCTCTGTGCCTGGGTGGGGAGCCCAAGACCGTGATAACTGGAGGCTGTTGGTCAGGATTGAGGGGCCCTGGCAGAGCTGAGTGTGTGGAAAGCCTTGGGCTGTGGGTTGAGACAGAAGGACATCGGCAGAGATCAGTGTGTGGGCATAGCCAGAGCTGGGTTAGCAGCGGGGCGGGATCAAGGGGCACCGGCAGAGCTGTGTGTGTGGGCAGGGCTGGGCTAGCAGGGGGCTGCGGGCCGGGAGTGAGGGGCCCTGGCAGAGCTGTGGGGGGCTCAGGACTGGGCTAGCAGGGGGGCTGCGGGGGGGGAGTGAGGGGCCCCGGCATAGCTGTGGGGGGCCCAGGACTGGGCTAGCAGGGGGCTGCGGGTCGGGTGTGAGGGGCGCTGGCAGAGCTGTGTGTGTGGGCAGGACTGGGCTAGCAGGGGGCTGCGGGCGGGAGTGAGGGGTGCTGGCAGAGCTGTGGGGGGCCCAGGACTGGGCTAGCAGAGGGCTGCAGGTCAGGAGTGAGGGCGCTGGCAGAGCTGTGGTCAGGACGCAGACTCGGCTGCTGAGGCCTCAGAGTGGCTGTGTCTCTCAGGTTCAGGACATCGCCTCCCAGCTGGTCTCCGCCCTCTATTACCTCCACTCCCACCGGATCCTGCACCGCGACATGAAGCCCCAGAACATCCTGCTGGGCAAAGGGGGCATCGTCAAGCTCTGTGACTTCGGGTAGGTGCCCGAGGAAGTCGCACGCCCTTGGCATCTGAGTCCATTGGGGCATTCAAAGGGTTCCTGGGCTGGGGGGGGCTCTTGGAGGCAGAATTAAGGGGCTCCCTCTCGCCCGACAGGTTCGCTCGCGCCATGAGCATCAACACCATGGTGCTGACGTCCATCAAGGGCACCCCGCTGTACATGTCCCCCGAGCTGGTGCAGGAGAAGCCCTACGACCACACGGCCGACCTGTGGTCTGTGGGCTGCATTCTGTACGAGCTGTTCGTGGGGACGCCGCCCTTCTACACCAACAGCATCTTCCAGCTGGTCAGCCTCATCGTCAAGGACCCCATCAAGTGGCCCAAAACCATGAGCCCTTCGTTCAAGGTAAAGGGGATGAGGGGTGGGCAGTTCCCCTGCAGCCACAGAGCCACAGCTGCCCCAGTTCCAGACAGGCCCCCCCTGGCTCCAACAGCCCCTCGTCAGGCGAGGTCACTGAACCCCTCTGTCTCGGGGATGGGCTGTCCAGATTCCTGCTTGGGAATCATGACCGGTTCCACTGACTCCCCTTGCAAACTGGATTCTTCACTTCCTTCCCTGGTGAGCGGTGTTGCTGTGCGCTGTTTGATGGCTGCGGAGGGCTCACCCCAGAGCTGGCTGCAAGGGGAGTCAGGGCCCTGCATGTTCAGTGCAGGATCCGCCCCTTGCTGCTGAATCGTCCTCTGGAATCTCAGCTTCTGTTTAAACAAATTGCTTCCAGCCCTTATGGTTGTGAAGAAACCCTTCCAGGGTGACAGAAGCGATGCAGCCTGAGTTTGTAGACAGCCTGAAACAGCAGCTCTGAGGGACACAGACTGGCCCATTAATCTCAAGGGATGTTAACGCTGAAGCATAGTGATGAGACACTGTATGTCAGCTTTGAACTATTTCAGTCATTTCACCAGAAACGTCCATTTCTCCCCACTGCGCCGCACTCCCTTCCGAGCCGGGTGTAGAACCCAGGAGTCCTGACTACCCATTAGGCTAGTGCACATGCCCAGTTCATTGTGTCCCAGCAAGAGCAGCAATTGTGGGGGCACAGAGAGGCGGTGAGCGTGACAATGGGTCTCTGTGCCCCTGGGCAGAGCTTCCTGCAAGGCCTGTTGATGAAGGACCCTCGCCAGCGCCTGTCGTGGCCGGAGCTCCTGTGCCATCCCTTCATCGCTGGACGGGTCACCAGTGAGTGCTCCCCCCCGGCTCTGTTCCTGCTGGACTGGGTGCAAAGCCACCATCCCCGCCCGCAGCCCGGCCACCCCCTCTGCCCCATCTCCCCTGGATGCAATGGGCAACTGCCTCGCCACCAACCCCCCAGCCCATGCCGTCTCCAGAGTGCCCATGGGGTGGCCTGGCCCCTCCAGTCCCTGGAGCTCCCCCCACCCCCCGTTATAGTTGCTGTGGTTCCTGACTGGGCTCACCCCCCCCTCCCGGCAGTGATCGATGACATGGAGCAACACGGGATCGCGAACCCCTTCACCAGCAAGCTGCCCCCGGAGCTGCAGGTGCTGAAGGAGAAGCAGGCTCACTCGCTGGCCCCCAGGAGCGGCCAGTCCAAGATCCTGAGGAAGGCGCGGCAGAAGATGGCTGAGGCGGCCCGGAAGAAGGTGTGTGTCTGGTGTCCTGCGGACTGGGCAGAGCTCTCACTGCAGTGGCGCTGGGAACTCACTGGGACACACGGAGCCTAGGAGGGACCTTGGCCAGGGGCTGGGCGAGAGACCGAGCAGGGCCCCTCCAGCTGGAGGTCCCCGAGGAAGTGGGAGGGGGAGTGAAGCCAGGAGATGGTTGGGACAGTTACACAGTAGGGCCCATGGGGGATCAGGGTGAGATGGGAGTCTGGGGGGTTGGTCAGTTACAGGGAGAGAGATCCCCTGATGACTGGGGGGACTGAGTGGGGACAGGCGCCCGAGGGATTGGTCAGTTACACAGATAGGGCCCCAGAGGCTGGGTGAGAGTCGGGGGGGGGGCGCTTGGTCAGTTACAGGGAGATGGGTGTCTGGGGCTTGTCAGTTACAGGGAGAGGGACCCTGCCGAAAGGGGAGTGGAGGCAGGAGTCTGGGATCTTGGTCAGTTACACGGAGATCTAACCTGGCTGAAGCTCTTTGGTCTTTTCCAGGAGCAGCTGAAGGCAGACGCGCCGTCTAACAAGGAGGCAGCCAGAGGAGGTCTGGGACACAAACCCAAACCAGCCCCTGGGAAGGCAGCTCTCAGGGAGGGGGAGCAGGCAGCCCGCGCTCCGGGCTCCCCTCCTGGAGACGAGAACCAAGCCGTCCTGGGAGAAGAGCCCCAGGCCGAGTGGGAGACAACGGAGCCTCCCCCGACGCCGCGGTGAGGGGCAGGGGTGCCTGCCCTGGCTCAGCTGGGTCTGTGGGTTTCTGGGGCGGGGGACTGGGCTGGGGGGCACCCGTCAGCCAGGAGATGGCGCAGGACGGGTCTCTAGCTGCACTGTTTCTTGGGCAGGGAGCACCGGATCACACAGGATTACGAGCGGGAGTTTCCGGAGGTGGAGATGGGGGCTCCCATGCCAGCGGGGGGCAGCGAGGCGGGGCCACGCGGCAGGCGCAGCATCGAGACCGTGGACCTGGAGAACGAGGTGAGAGGTGACGGGGTGCGGGCTGGGGCCCTTGGGAGCTGGCTTGAGGGCGCTGGGGAGTCTGGGGCAGGCGTGGCCCCGCTCCCCTCAACCTTATGGTATCGAAGTGGCCATCTCCCTTCTCTTGTGACCTTTGACCTAGGAACTGGATAGTGACGACGAATGGCAGCATCTGATCGAGGCCACGGAACCCGCCACCATGCAGCTGAGCACGCCCCTGAGCCTTCTGGGGGACCCGGCCTTCCTGCGGCGCATCCGGGCCCGGCTCCAGCACTCCAGCCAGCAGGCGAGTGGGGCCAGCCGGGGGGAGTGGGCTGGGGGCAGCCGTTCCTTATTCCCAGCTCGCTATTCAAGGAAGGGCTCGGGACTGGGAGGCAGAAGATTGGACTCGGTTATCAGACGTGTTACCTTGCGGGACCCAGGGAGGGAGAGAGAGAGAGTGTGTCCTGTGCCTCAGTTTCCCCATCTGCACAATGGGGATCATGATCCCGACTCTCTTCCTTAAGTGCTTTGCGTCGGCGTGGAGACAGGTGAAGGAAGTGCCTAGGACAGGGAGCTCGGAGCAAGGCAGGGAAGCCTTCCCCGCCCCCTGCATTGGTGACCCTGGGGGAAACACCTGGATCCACCCATCCCCCCTCCCATCCAGGGGAGGAAGTTCCTCCTTTGTCCCCAGAGATCTGAGCTCTCCTGTTTGGTGGATCCCTGCTCTGCCCCCTCCCTGTGATGAGGGGAGCTCTGTGGCTGGCAGACATGCTGCCCATGCCAGTGCCAGGGTGCTCACATCACAGGCCCCTTCTCTGCCTCTCCATGCCCAGGTGCTGGAGGGGATGTTGGAGGGAGCGTCTCATCTCCGCCCTGCCCTCCGCGTCCTGGGCAACCTGCTCGCCACCAGGTGTGACTCAGAGCTTCTGTACAGCTTCTGCCAGGCCGCGGATTTACCTCACTTCCTGCTGCACCTGCTCGGGCAAATCCTGCAGAGCGCCAGCAGCAAGCAGGTGGGTGCAGGGAGTGCTGGGTATGCGTGTCCCCCCACCCCCAGAGGCTAGTTCTGCACATGCTGAGGCGTGCCAGGCCGCTGGGGCAAGGGTGGGGGAGGCCTGTGGGGGGGGTTGCCCCCTAGAGGCTGTTGTATCATCACCGCTGCATGAGTTCAGTTGTGGCCCACCTCCATCTCTGGGTGTGCTACCTCCCGGAGCTAACCCTGAGGGACTAGCTCCCCCTTGCAAGCCCTTGTCAGAGGGGGAAGGGTCCTGTGGTGCCATAGGGCCGGGCAGTTTGGCTGCCAGCCTGTCTGAGTGGCGCTCCCTGGCACATGGGTTCTTTCCTGCTCCCGCAGCAGCCCTGGTGCATCACGCTGCTGACGGACCTGGTTGGCGTGACAGCGGCCTATTTCGCCAGTGAGTCCCACCTGCAGCGGAGCCGGAGGAGAAGGTAGAGTGGCCGCCGGCGTGCGGGAGTGGCCTGTACTGGAACCGGAGTCTCTGAGAGGCACTGCACTGAGATCCCCTCCCACCCTTCTCCCCACCAGCCCCTCACGTGCTGGCTCCATCCTCGGGGCCACACTCCAGGATTAGAGCTCGCAGCACAGGGGAGAGACCCGAATGTGGCCCCTCCACAGCACGGTGTCCTCCAGGGCTCTCAGTCAGGATCATCATCCCCCATTGTACAGCTGGGGAAACTGAGGCAGGGAGGGGGGGCAGGGATACTCCCGGATCCCACAGGGTAGCAGAGCTGACGAGTTCAGACCTTCCGTCTCCCAGTCCTGAGGCATCCCCACTGGGCCGTGGCGCCTCCGCTGGGGCTGATCTGCCCGTTAGCCAGACACCAGCCTCCCTGGGCTGTCCTCCCCCGGGGGCTCTGCAGTACGGGCGCAGCTGGCAGATCCCATGGGGAGAGCTGGTCCCATTGCCTGGCTGAGCGTGCAGTTCATCGGGCGACCCCTGGCCCCCAGGGCCTCGCCTCCACCGACACCCGCCTCCCCCAGCATGCAGGTTTTCCACGAGGCGGCTGCCGGCTTCCTCTCCCTGCTCCCCCAGCTGCTGGCCCAGCCGACGGATGTCGAGACAAGGCTCCGCGAGCAGAGCAGCATGGTAAAGGGGCCCCTCCCGCGTGCTCGGCTCCCTCTCGCACCCCCCTGCTCACTCACTGGGCGCCTCCCTTGCGCTCCCGCGGCCTCGTTCCTGTCCCCTCGCCCCTTCCTTGTGTCGCCCCCGCCGCCAGCCCTGCCCCTGGAGGGGCAATTCTGCGAGCTCCTGCGTGCTCCGACAGCCCAGCGCACGGCCTTGTTCCCGTCCCCTCGCCCCTTCCTTGTGTCTCTGTCACCCTCCCCCGCCCAGCCCTGCCCCTGGAGGGGCAATCCTGCGAGCTCCTGCGCGCTCTGATGGCCCAGCGCACAGCCTCCTTCCCGTCCCCTCGCCCCTTCCTTGTGTCTCTCTCACCGCGCCCCCCCCGCCAGCCCTGCCCCTGGAGGGGCAATCCTGCGGGCTCCTGCGCCCCGCACGGTCATGGCTCAGGATCATCCGGGACCCCCTCCCCTCTCAGGCCTAGAGCCTCCGCCCACGGCCTCCCCTTCCCTGCCCCGTCCCTCTCCCCAGCCGTGCGCTGATTGCAGATCTCTGGGTCCCTCTGCAGTGCTTCGCCTGGCTCTGTGAGGGCATGGACAGCAGCAGCCCCTGTGTGTCGGGCCCCTTCTACGCCAGCCTGCTCGCCAAGCAGCGCCCCGTGCTGGATGCACTCCTCCAGGGGGCCACCCTGGAGCAGCCCGCTCCAGAAGGTAACGCTCTCCCCGCACCTGGGATGAATGGGGGGATATCCCCCCTGATGGGGACAGCCCCACATCTGCCTGGTGGCTGGGCTTCCTCCGGCCCCTCGGGCTGGCAGGGTCCCCAGCGAACTGCAGTCACTGCCCACGGGTCTTTGTTCCTCATTTTAGTGCTGGGGAAAGTAAGTGACCAATGGCCCTGATCAGAGCCAAGGGTAGAACAGACAGTTCCCGCTCCCAGCTCTGCTGGTGCCCCTCAATCCCGACCCGCAGCCCCTGTGCACTAATTGTCCATCTGGCTGTCTCAGCAGCCCGATCTTTGTTCATAATTACGTGTCTTCTTTGATCTTTCGTCCCTGCCCAGAGCCAGCGAGGGAGGCGAAAGCCGTGCGGGAGCAGCGGGAGCGTGGGGCAGATGTCTTCACAGCAGCATTGGCCGCAGTCTGCAGCCTCCCCGTGGGGCGGAACGGGTGCCAGGAGGCCAAAAAGCAGGTCAGGAGCTCGGCCCACTCACGGTTCCTTCCCGAGGCAACAAGTGCCCTGCGAGCGCCCTGCGTGGCTGAAGGTGACCCTTCCCGACGGGGTCACTGCCACCGCCCTGGCCTGATCTAGAGCACTGTACAGACGCTGCCCAGGGGACACTCGCGTGCAGCCACCTCTGGGGTGGAAAGTGGCAGGTGTATAACAGCGCACAGCAGTGCCACGCAGCAGCTCAGGACAGGGAGTAAATGAGGCTCCCGAAGGCAATGGAACACACGGGGGAATGCGATTATTCCCGCTGGGATCTGAGCAGGACGCTGGGTAAACGCCCCGACGCGGGCGCAGAGACAGCGCGAGAGGGTCTTTAACAGCCCTAGGCGGGCTTGGCCACGGTGTTACACCTTCTTCAAAAGAGAATGCAGCGTTCCCCCAGGGCCGTGCTGGGGAGAGCGCCCCCTACTGAGCCCCCACCCTGCTCCCTGCAGCATGGCGCCCCCTAGCGCCAGGCTGGGGCCAGCACTGACTGCCAGGGGAGAACGGCCCCTAGTGACCCCACCCCACTCCCTGCAGCACAGCGCCCCCTAGCGCCAGGCTGGGGCATTGGGGCCAGCACTGGCTCAGAGGCGAGAGCCCCCCGCTCCCTGCAGCAGAGCGCCCCCTACCATCTAGGTCACTAGCAGCTCTCTGGGGCTGTGATCCTCTTGTCTGGTTTCCCACAGGTGGCCCAGCAGGTGGCTGAGAAACTGGAGGAAAACAGCTGGCTGTTAGTGACGCTGCTGGCGGGACTCGAGCGCCCGGCTTGCTCCCTGAACGTGCTGAGGGTAACGGGTCCCCGGGCTGACCCCGCCGTGCCTCCATTGCCCCTTGGTGGGCTTCCGTGGGGCCAATGGGATGGGGCTGTGAGTGGCGAGGCCCCCAGCTGTGCTCTCCCCTGGGGATCAAATCCAGCCCCGGCCCCATTGCGGTAGCTCCCACAGCATGGCACCCACGGGGCACCGGTCGTGCCAGATAGCAACGGGCCCGCTGCTGTCATGGTGGTAGACCTCAGCCATCCTCCTTCTCCCTGCTGGGAACCTTGGGGCCCGCCTGCAATGTGGGGTCACCATGAAACCGAGCCCACGACGGCCTGTGGTCTGGTCATGGGTCTCTGTTCCCCTCCCGGGGGGACAGGGCACTTCTTCCCCCCTTCTCCTTTCCTAGCTGGGCTCCTGGCTCTGTGTGTCCCCCGCGCTGACCTCTGCTGTCTCTGTCCCCCAGGTCTTGTACTCCTGCGGCCAAGCCAGTAAAAGCCTATGCCGGCTCCTGGCAAAGGGGCAGCAAGTGCCGAGCTCCCTGGCCCGGCTGGTGAAGGGCGAGGTACGTCCCTCTCACCCCACGGAGCCCCCCGGGGGGCGGATCGCGGTACAGCTGGGCTCCTCCCTCTGTCGGGCTCCTGCTGAGCACGGACTAGATCCAGCCCCCAGACTAGATCCGGCTGTGGTGGGGAGAGGGACCTGGGGCGACGTGGGCCCTAGTGGTGCAGAATGAGCAGAGAGGACTGTACCAAGAATCGCAGGGGGGAGCGGGGAGAAGGCGTAAGGTGGGGGGTAGAGGAAAGGGGTCTGGGGGAGGGGAGAGGGAGGTTAGCCAGGGCCTGCAGGGGAGGAGTTGGGACCAATTTGGTGAGAGGTGGGGGTAGGGCAGGGTGGAGGTAACCAGGAAAGGAACCATTGTCCCAGGTCTGCCTCTGGTCTGAGCAGCCCAGTGATTCAGTGGTGCCCACCCTGGCAGCCTTTGCCCTCCTGCCCAGCCCCCAGGACTCTCTTCCCCCAGCCCTGAGCTCTCTCCTTTGCAGGTCCCGATGGGAGAGCGGCTGCGGGTGCAAGCCTGCGAGGCGTCGCTGCACCTGCTGTCCCTGCTCACCCTCCAGCTGCAGGCTCTCCCTCCCCGGTAAGTGTGTCTGCCCCCACCCCGCACCTGGCCTGGGCAGGGACATTGGCCGTTCAGCGCCTGCGGGGTGAGCTGGGGGGGCGTCGGTCTAGTCTACTCCACACGCCCCTTCCCCAGTGGCTGGTGGCCGCAGCGAGATCTGCTCCTAGATGGGATCCCCGCCAGGGCCGGGCTGCAGCTAGCGCTGGACCTCCCCGTGGACAGAGCGTTTCAGGGAAGCTGCGGTGACCCTTCTCCTGCAAAGGAGCCCACCAGCTTTGTGGCTGCAGGCCAGGGGCGCTTTCCCCTCGGAGGCAGCGCTGACCACAGTGGGGCGATAGGGGGC